ATTCACTCTGGAACTTCAAAATCCAAACACTGTGGCCCAAAAACTCGTCAAAACCACAAACCAGGAGAGGAGCCGCCTCCCCTATGGAAGGAGCCGCCTCCCCCAAACATGAAACCGGCTCCCCCCTTAAGGGAGCCACCTCCCTAGCTTATAGAGCCAGCTCCCCACAATGGGGAGCCGCTTCTTTTCAAAGGGGAGCTGCCTCCCTTCTAAAGGGAGCCAGCTCTCCCCCTGAAATCACCATCTGCTTCACCTCCGGTGACTTTCTGACTTTCCGATTGCCCTTGTTAAGGTCCCTAACCCTCTATTCTAAGTTCCAGACAGTCCCAATTAATTATAAGAAATAATTATGCATCACCAACATGAATCAAAACAAGTTTATATGCAAGAAAATTCAAGATTTAGTCAAGAAAATATACTAACCATAAAAATCAATTTTAATTCAATTCAAGCATGCATATTCGATCAATTTAATTACTGATACTCCTAGAGTTAACCTAGGCATGTAAAGAACATGAGTCAAAGGGAGAGAGTTAGAAATAGAACTTACCTTTGAGATTTCGGACTAAAATCTCAACGTCGTTTTCCTATACTTTCGGCAATTCCTTGACTGTTCTCAACTTCTACCACTCCTGGTTTAACCTACAAGAAATCTTCTTTCTTCCTTCTTGGTCCGACCTTAAATCAATGGCCGAAACCTTAACTTGTTCCCTCTGTTTTTATCTCAAACTTTTTTGTTTACGGCTCTGCCTCTATGTGTACGTGAATAGGGTTCTAAAACTCTTGCAGACACATAACAACATATATATAGGCTTAAAAACCTAATTCTAATTAACTGAGGATTTGGAAACGAAAAAGAAAAGAAATTATAATATAAAATAACTTTATGTATATAATTCGGCAACTTCGTAAATATATAAAACCCTAAAACCAAAATAATACGTATATAAGACATATATCCTGAATAATGCTACTAATTTAACCATTAATAACAATTAATAATTAAATTAACTTTATATACATATGTACTCATATATATATGTTATAACCACCCATGGGTATTAACCGTACCCATTTAATCTCCTATTCAAGTAGTCCATGAGACTCAAACGGTTAGTCCATTACTACTGTCCAAGCCCAACTCCTTTAAAATAAAACAAAAATAAACATCTAATTTAATTTAAACAATAAACATTTAATTCAATTTAAACACATACACAATTAATTTAAATAAGCAGTTAAACATATGTCAAATAACCACATACACAATTTATTCAAATAAACAATTAAACATATCAAATAATCAAAAATGAAATTAAAAAAATGCACTTAAACAATAAAATAAATACTGAGACTATCCTTTTAAAATTAAGGGTATTACATTAACCATGCTTTCCTTCAAGTATTCCCTCAAGCTGCCTGTGAGTTCTTGCCACATGGGATTTCAGACCACTCACCAATGGTGGTCAAATTCGGATGTTTGGCACCAAAAAAGAATTTACCTTTTACGTTTTTTGACTTCTGGAACTTAAATGAGGGTTTCATTGATATTGTTTACAAGGGCTGGTAGAAGGAGGTGCATGGTACTAAAATGTTTTGTGTGGTTCAAAGGTTGAAAGCCTTAATGCATCCTTTAAAGTTGCTGAACAAGTCTGAATTCAGCTCCATCTCAGCAAGGGTTGCCCTATACAAAGAGGAGCTATCAAAGTGTTGAGCTAGTTTGGATCTTAATCCTTCTAATGACCAACTCAGACTTACTGAAAGAGGGTTGGCTACAAAATTTTATAAGCTTTGCTTGGCTGAGGAAATGTTCTTCAAGTAGAAATAAAAAATTCACTGGCTGATGGTGGGGGACCAGAAGACCTCCTATTTCACAAAATTATTCTCTACCAAAGCCAATAAAAGGAAGATTGTCTCAATTGTGGATGCAAATGGAATTACAGTTTAAGATTAAGAGCTAAAAAAGGAATTCCTTGACCACTTCAGGAACTTGCTTGGACAACCTTACAACAACTACCTAGGTATGCCCTCATCCTCACATCTTATCTCTATGTTAGTTCTCTCCCATCTTCTCCCAACCCTCACAGCCATACCTACAGACTTGGAGATTCAGAATTGCATCATATCCTTCCATCCCTACAAAAGCCCTGGACCTGATGGTTTTAACTCCTATTTTTTCAACTATGCTTGGCCAATCATTGGCCAGGATATCATTGGGGCCATTGAAGAATTTTTTTTTTTTTAAATTTCTAGAAGGATGCTCACTGAATTAAACTATTCTTATATTGCTTTGGTTCCCAAAATCCCTAACCCTTCTTGTGCAAGTGACTTTAGACCTATATTGTGATACCTCTCGATTTTAGAGCCACGGGTGATCAAGTCCGAGCATAGATCCGAGGGATACCAAACAATTAAGTATACTCCAAAAGAATTATCCAAAACCTTAAATTATCATTAAAAATCGGGAATCCATCTAGTGGACCCCTAATGATATTCCAACTGAATTAACTGAAAATAAACATAATCCGAAACTAAATCATAAAGAGAGTCCTACGTAGAACCGGAAGAATGATGTGGACTGTTTCTGCTTAGCACGAACAAACTTTATGTCTGGAACTGACGAATACCTGAAAAATAATAGTGGGTCAGGCCCACGAACAAGTTCTTTCTACGACAACCCGAACAGAGATCGAAGAAACTATATATCTATAGCTAACCCATGCAATAACCATATAGTCAATACATACATATACACACTAAAGGAACCTCACTAGACTATAGGGTTGCCTCAACCTGAATAGTAGACAACATGCAAAAATGAACATATAGTGGGTATGAGTACCTAGATCTACCAGGGCACACAACCACACTATATCTAGCTACATATCCCTGGCAATATACGCACCCTATCTACTGATCATAAGACTCAAGCTCATATCATGACATATGTTTATATATATCTAATCTAAAGTAATCCATTATGTATCATCCAACTTGTTCAGTTGACCTGACACAAATTTAAGTAGAACTTAATATTCTAGTTAATCCGTTCCTTTATAAAATAAGTAGGACTTAACTAGTAAGTTAATCCATCCCTAGAGTGCCACCATTCCACACTGGTGCACTACATCCACACAATCCAACAGTTAATGTAATAATTAAAGGAGTACATCTAGAATAAACATAATAATATGATATCATGTTAATAATAATACCTTATAAAATTATTTAAGCTTCCTACGTCACATATCCTACCCATACTGAATCTTAAATAGACTGATATTTTATTATAGAATCACGTAAACATTCTCCATATACCATTCATGCTATAAATTTAATCTTAATTATTAGAACAAACTAAAGACTAAATCCACTCATTCCTCAAAGAATCAAATAGCATGCATTGACATATTTAAGTTTGTTTAAAATTTATTTAAACTTATTCTTAGTCTTTATTTGATAGTTAGGACTCCTCAGAATCACTAAATAGTAAAGCAATGCTATTTACGAAACTTCTCCAGCTAAGGCTCAAGCTTTTGTCCCAATTGCTCGAGCACCTTGCTTCAGGCTCGAGCATCCTGCTTCAGGCTTGAGCTTTTCACCTAATTGCTCGAACTTTTCCTTTCAGGCTTGAGCTTTTCATCCAATTGCTTAAGTTTTCCTTTTCAGGCTCGAGCTTTGGTCCCAAGGCTCGAGCACTATATCGATGACTCATACCCTGTTTACGTGATTCAACCCAGAATTCTACTGTAAACCCAAATATTTATTGTTTAAGGATTCTAAGGCATGTTTCTAGGTTCCATCAATATACAGATATGAAAATACATCATGTAAAACATGTAACAATTCATAAAGTAATCAAATCAAATCTCTGCATTTATTAAGTCATACAACAAGAACAACCATGGAATATAATTGATAAAACCTTTGTTTTAGATCAATTAAATTACAAATTTCAATTTTTAATTGTTTTTTACATAACCCTAAGATTATGCTATAGATATAAATTTTACAGATCAAAGGAGAAGTGTAAAACAAGAACTTGCCTTTAGAGATTTGATAAAAACCCTAGCCTCTTTCTTCTTCTTCCTCATTCTCTCTCTCTAAAATATACGTGATATATTTCTAACCCTATAGTTATATAGTTATAGGCTAAATAAATAACCCTACTCCTTTTCCCAATCCACCTCAAATTAATAAAGAAAATAAAATAAAATTTAAATACTAAAAAGGTAACTAAAATATATGTTACGTATAATTTATGTATATTATTTTTATCTACGCAAAATAAATACATTAGATTATCACCATACGACTTTCCTTAAATAAATATATGTATATTTAATTATATATATATATATACATATACCCTATCTATGGGTATTTATCCGTACCCATTAAACCCCTTATCGAAGGAACTTAATTGGTTGGCCCATGACTACTATCCAAACCATTAAAGTTAAATTAAAATAAAATAAAATAAAATAAATCAACTATTTAAAACGTTTAAATCCTAACCATTTTATTACAAGAAAACACCTAACATTTAAGAACACAAATACACATTAACTAACACATAATTCAACTAAACAAGTATTTTAAATAAGGATAATGCTTAGCTACTCACTGGTGAGTAGTTACACCCTACTCACCCCTCATGTGTTCCAATAACAACATACCACATCAGCTTTAATAACCAAATAACCCACGTTCTCCTGTATTTTCTCGGATCAACTATTAAATAACATTTTTATTAAAGCTGATGTGGTATGCTGTTATTGGAACACATAAGGGATGAGTAGGGTGAAGCTACTCACCGGTGAGTAGCTAAGTATTATCCTTTAAATAAACATATAATCAATTAATTCATATAAACAATTAAACAAATAGCCAATAAATCAAATAAGGAATTAAAAACATAATTAAACAATTAATAAAATACCGAGACTATCTTTTGAAAATTAGGGGTTTTACATTCTTCCCTTATAACAAAAAGAATCTCATCCTCGGAATTCGCCCTTACCTTCATTCATTATGTATGGAAAAGTTGAGTGAATGACATCTTCCCGTTCGCAAGTAAATTCAACCTCATTGTGGTGACTCCATGGGACACGTACCAAAGGAATGACCTTATTATGAAGAATCTGATCCCTACGGTCGATAATACGACATGGTGGTTCCACATAGGTTGTATCCGACTGCAATTCAATCTTACCAACATCAATATGCTGATAACGATCTTCATCGCGAAGAAATTTCCGCAACATGGAAACATAGAACACATTGTGGACACGATCTAAATTGTCTGAAAGTGCTAAGCGATAAGCCACCGTTTCAATGCGATCCGTAATCATAAAAGGACTGACAAAACGTGGTGATAACTTCCCTTTCTTCCCCAAGCACATTACTCCTTTTATAGGAGACATTCTGAGTAAAACCTGATCTCCCACCTAAAACTCCAATGCACGAGTACGATGATCGGCGTAACTCTTCTGCCTACTATGGGTAGTGCGCATACGATCCTTAATAAGAGCAATCTTTTTAGAGGTATCCTTAATGAACTTAGGACCCAAAAATCTACTGTCACCAACTTTCATCCAACAAACAGGAGATCTACAAGGTCGGCCATATAAAGCCTCGAATGGTGCCATACCAATAGTCTTCTGAAAGCTTTTGTTATATGCAAACTCTATAAGTGGCAAATAGTTCTCCCAATGACCCTTAAAGTCAAGGACATAAGAATGAAGCATATCCTCCATGATTCGATTAACTCTCTCAGTCTGTCCATCAGTTTGAGGATGGTAAGCAGTGCTAAGGTGCAATTCGGTACCCAAAGCCTGCTGAAAATTCTTCCAAAATCTCGATACAAAGCTCGAATCCCTATCTGATATAATAGATAATGGTATGCCATGTAACTTCACAATCTCTGTAATGTAAAGTCTCGCCAGCTGTTCTGAAGTGTAATCAGTGCGAATATGCAAAAAATGAGCTAATTTGGTTAACCGATCACCAATGACCCAAATAGAATTGTGATCTTTAAATGAATTTGGCAATCCTTTAACAAAATCTATAGAAATACTCTCCCATTTTCATTCTAGTATAGGTAGTGACTGTAGAGAGCCTGGCGGTCTCTGATGATCAATCTTAACCATCTGGCAAGTGCAACACTGAGAGACAAAAATAGCAATATCCTTTTTCATACCTGCCCACTAAAACTGTCGCTTTATATCCTAATACATTTTGTCTCCTCCTGGATGAACAGAAAACTCAGAACAACGAGTCTCAGTCATCACATCCTTCCTTAACTCATCAGCATAAAGTACTACCAACTGCCCCTTGTACCTCAAGCATCCATCAGTCCCAACATGATAGAATGAAACATTTCCAGAGGCTATCTCTGCAACCTTATCAATGCACTGTTGATCTGTGAGTTATTCCTTCAATACCTTATTAATGATCGAAGGTGTTACTACCATGCATGCCATAAAAGCATCAAACAACTCATCAACGGTCTTCAAAACATTCTATTCAGTAGCAAATAATGTAAAAAGACTCACAGAAGGTCGGCGACTGAGTACATCTGCCACCACTTTTGCTTTCCCTGGATGGTACTGTATAGAGAAATAATAGTCTTTCATAAATTTTAACCATCGACGCTGTCTCATATTCAGCTCCCTCTGAGTGAACAAATACTGCAGACTCTTGTGATCACTAAATAATTTGAAAGATTCTCCTAACAGATAATGCCTCCAAATACGTAAGGTAAAGACCACAACTGCCAACTCCAAATCGTGTGTTGGATAATTAAGCTCATGAGACTTAAGTTTACGAGATCCATACAAAATTGGTCGCTTCTCCTGCATCAGAACACACCCAAGACCTTATAAAGAAGCATCTGTATAGATAAGATACTCTATCCTGCTCTATGGAGTAGACAGAACCGGTGCAGAAGTTAACTTATTCTTTAACTCATCAAAAGCTTTCTAACAGTGTTCATCCTATACAAACCGTACACCCTTCTTAATTAAATAAGTGAATGGTCCCGCTATTTTCGAGAACACCTGAATAAATGTACGATAGTATCCTGCTAGTCCAGAAAACTCTGAATCTCTATAGGTGAAGTAGGATGCCCCTACTCTACTACTATTGAAACCTTGGCTGGATCCACCGCTACCCCCTTCTCTGATACTACATGACCCAAAAACTTCACTTCTCGCTGCCAAAATTCACACTTCCCGAATTTTGCATATAACTGGTGTTCACAAAGCATCTGCAACACTATACGAAGATGTCTAGCAAGATCATCCTCTTTTTTAGAATAGACCAAAATATCATCAATGAACATGATGACAAACTGATCTAAGTAAGCCCTAAAGTCTCTGTTCATTAGATCTATGAAGACTGCTGGTGCGTTAATCAATCCGAAAGGCATGACACGAAACTCATAAGAACCATATCTAATGAGAAACGCTATCCTAGGAACATCCTGCTCCCTAACCCGAAGTTGATGATGTCCAGAACGCAGATCAATCTTAGAGAAATATGTAGCTCCCTTCAACTGATAAAAAAGATCATCGATCCTGGGCAAAGGATACTTGTTATGAATAGTAACCTTATTCAACTCCCTGTAATCTATAAACAGGCGAAGTAAACCATCCTTCTTCTTCACAAATAAAACTGGTGCTCCCCAAGGTGAAGTACTCCGATGAATAAAACCCTGACTGAGCAATTGCTGAATCTGATCTCTAAGCTCACGCATCTCCACTGGTGCCATCCTGTATGGTACCCTAGCAATAGGCGTAGTTCCTGGAGCTAAATTAATAACAAAGTCTATCTCTCGACTAGTTGACAATCCTGGAATTTCTTGAAAGACATCTAAAAATTCCTGTACAACTGGTATACTATCCGGTGACACATTAATCTCCTCCTCGGTCTCCTCCTCCATATGAAACAAGCTAGAAACCTCGTTAGTACGTGGCATATCAATGACATATATATCCTGACCAGGTATAGTGAAAATAATAGACATATCATAACAATTAACTTGGGCATGGTAATGAGATAACCAATCCATCCCGAGTATCATATCATAAGTGTGCATGTCCAGGACCAATAGATTGATTAGAAATTGAAGTCTACCAATATCTAGTGTCACAAGCCCATCACTTTCATGTAAAATAGCTATATCGCCTATAGGTGTAGAAATACCACGAGGTCTATCGCACACTTGCGTCGTTATCCCAGATAATGCAACAAAAGTACTAGACATGAATAAATGTGTAGCACCCATATCAAATAAAACATGACCAGATCTACTGTGAATAGGAAACATACCTTGAACAATCTGAGGCGCCTGAACATCCTGTGGCATGGGGTCATACACCCTACCGTAATATAACTGCTGCAGTGCTTATCCCTGAGGCTATGACGGTGCAGGTAAAACCAAATATGTCTATCCCTGAATCCGTGAAATCTGTGGAGCGGGTATAGGTAATGGTGCCCTCTATCCCTGCTGCACATGCTGTCCCAGTCCCTGTCCTGCTTTAAGACATTGCTTGGAAGTGTGACCAAACTTTCCACAAATGTAGCAATTCCCCTGGAAAGTATCAAATTTCCTCCGCTGTTGGTTAGCCTGTGGCTGACCCTGTCCTGTCTGTGGTCTCCCATCCTACTGCCTCTGAATAAGTGCCCTATTCATATGAGCTTCTGAACCACTTTTTTGCTTCTTCCAAGACTGTTGTCCTTGGAATTCGCCCTTATTATTGTGTCGGTGTCCATTATCGTTCCCTTGCTTAGCTGATTGATTAGCAGAATCTCTGTCACCCCGCTTTTCACCCCTAGCCTGTCTAAAGTCCACAGTCAACTGATACTGCTGTAGAGCAGGATCTACCACCTGAGCATAAGTAGTGTAGGCTGGACTATCTGTAATAGATCGCTTAGTAAACCACATAAGCCCCTTAACGAAGCTATCACATTTCTTCTCCTCAGTATCCACCTTTTCTGGAGTAAATAAAGATAAATGCGCGAACTGCTGCTCATACTTTGCCACTGTCATATTCCCCTGCTCTAGATTAAGAAACTCTATCTTCATAGCTGTCCTGACTGTATATGAAAAGTATTTCTTATCGAAGCGAGCACTAAACTGATCATAGTTCAATGAAGTCCTCTCTTCTGTAGTGGTAATTGACTGAGTGCATCTTCGACAAGCTTGAAGGTAACAAGCATCTGCTTCTGAACCTCTGTGCACTTAACCATATGAAGATGTCACTTGATACCTTTCTTCCACTGGTGAGCTGCTTTTGCATCGGTGGAGCCTGAGAACTCAGGTGGGCTCCCCTTTATGAAAGAACTCCTAGCCTTTTCCTAAGGATCAGTTTGAACCACTGGTGCTGGTATAGGTGCATGCTGAACCTATGGCTGATTCTGAAGTGCAGCTGTTACCCCTGCTTTTATAGCCTGAGCAATGAGGTCATTAAGATGAGAAGGACATTCTAGATATCTTCCCTGATCTTGAGTCTACTGAACTTCCTCCTGTTCTACATGCACTTGACCATCATCTTCCTGAAACCCAGGCATTTGTTGCTCTTCTTCCATTTACTGATGCTGTAAGAGATATTATTGCCTACGTGCCGCTCTCCTTTGCCGCCTGTTTCCTTGTATGTTCTGTCCTCATTTAGCATTATCCCTTCTGTTAACACAGAGAGACAGATATCAATACGATTTAAACAAACTATATAGGAATACAACGAATCCTAAATTTAAGCTCTAAACAAGATAATATGCTATACGGAAGTCTTAATATGAAATAACTCTAGAGATACTGAACTTGGAGTGCACTGATACCAATTGTGATACCCCTCGATTCTAGAGCCATGGGTGATCAAGTCCGAGCACAGATTTGAGGGATACCAAACAATTAAGTATATAAACAAGCATTTGATTACAAAGGAAATATTTAAGAATAAATAAAATAGCAGAAAGGAAAACTAAATAATAAAACCTTAACTTAAATAAATAATTAATCCTCCAAATAAATTATTAAAAACCTTAAACTATCATTACAACTCGGGAATCCATCTAGAGGACCCTTAATGATATTCCAACTGAATAAAATAAACATATTCCAAAACTAAATCATAAAGACAGTCCTACGTAGAACCGGAAGAATGATATGGACTGTCTCTATTCAACATGAACAAACTCTATGTCTGGAATTGACGAACACCTGAAAAATAATAGTGGGTCAAGCCCACAAACAAGTTCTTTCTACGATAACCCAACAGAGACTGGAGAAACTATATATCTATAACTAACCCATGCAATAACCATATAGTCCATACATGCATATACACACTAAAAGAACCTCACTAGACTAAAAGGTTGCCTCAACCTGAATAGTAGGCAA